TAATCAGAAAAGCTGGCTTATGTGAAAAAGAATGTAGATTTCAAGATTGGAGAAAGGCCTATTAACAACTTCCAATATACAGATGACAGCAAACCTTGCTTGCTGAAGCGAGGAGGAATTGAAGCACTTACTAATGAAGATCAAGGTTTGTAGTCTTCAGTATGATTTACAACTCAATTTAAGGAAGATCAAAATCATCGCAACTGGACCAATAGTTAACATGAAGAAAAGATTAAAGTTGTCAAGGATTTCTTCTTTTTTGAATCAGCAATTAATGCTCATGGAAGCAGCAGTCAAGAGATCAAATGATACATTGCACTAGGTAAATCTGCGGCACAAGATCTCTTTAAAGTGCTCAAAAGCAAGGACATCGAGGACTAAGGTGCACTTGACCCAAACCATGGTATTTTCTGTTGCCTCAGATGCATGTGAAAGTAGGACATTGATTAAGGAAGACCGAAAAAGAACAGATGCATTTGAATTACGTAGCTGGTGAAGAATACTGAAAGTACTATAGACTGCCAAAAGAACAAACAAAGCTGTCTTTGAAGTAGTACAGTCAGAGTGCTCCTTAGAGGCAAGGATGGCAAGGCTTAGTTTCAAGTTCCTTGGACATGTTGTCAGGAGAGACCATTCCTTAGAGAAGGACATCAGGCTTCGTACATAATGGGACAGTGAAAATTAGGATGGCCTTCAACAAGATAGATGGACACAGTGGCTGCAACCATGTGTTTGAACATGAGAACAGTTGTCAGGATGGAGCTGACCATAGTCCTGCTGTCCTTTGAGTCACTGTGAGTTGGAACGGGTTTGACAGCGCCTGCCAGCAACAGCAACCTCAAAGGATCCCATTGTATTCTTCTTTCAGAGCACATAGTACTTTGTCTGCAATCTGTACCCCCAATAATGACAGCACACCCAACTCATAGCGTTACTGTGATCTTCAACATGATCATGTGAGTGTATAAACTAAACCAAACCCACTGCCACTGAAGTGATTCTGACCCGATAGCATCGAGTGGCACCACCTCGTTGGCTTCCCAAGGCTGGAATATCTTACAGGACCTGGTGGCTTCCTCTGTCTTCTGAGAAAACTCTGGTGGGTTCAGATCGTGACCGTGAGATAAGCATCCAACATAGAATCCACTCTGCCACCAGCACTCCTCATATTGCTCTAAAGTCCCTGGTGAACAGTAAGCGCCATGTCTGCATGCTGGTGTTCGCTCTTGTCTGAAAGGGTAGCTTTACTCAGCTCATTTCTGGGCTGTTAATCTTCCATCACTAGAGGGTAAGCGCTTTGAGGACAGGAATTTGTATCCTCAACACCTAGAACATTTCCTGAGATACAAGAGACACTCACTACATTTTTGTTGAATGAATTAAAGAAGGAAACAGGCCGACCTCTGTGTTTGGTCTTTGCATAGAAACTGCTATACATATTGGGCTTCTTTGAGTGAAAACAAGAAGAGCTTTGCTCCAGGGCAGAACAACTTGCATTTGAAAGATATCAGCTAGTGCTTCGAGGCAGATGTTGGGCACAACAGATGTACCTGGGATGTTGGATCCGCCTGTGAACTGTCATCTTTCCTTGCCCTATTTAACTCTCTCTTTCCTTGCTAGTGTCTTGTTGGATAAACGCTTCAGAGCCGAGTGTAAGAATTATGGCGTCATCATTCCATACCCACCGTCCAACCGCTATGAAACGCTGCTGAAACAGAGGCACGTGCAGGTATGGAGAAGCGCAGTAAAGATGGAATGGGCAGCAGCAAGTCGCTATGAAGTCAGTGCAAACATATGAAATGGGGACTGTCTCCTGTCCACCCTGCATATTGCCCCAGTATAGATTACTGAGCATAAATGTAAAAGCCTCCTTATATACATTAAGGAGGTCTTGTCAATTCCTTGAAAATTTGCACCTTCTTGGCCCATCTATAGCTCACCTCTTTCTAAAGCTGAAAGCCACTCTTTCTGTTGGGACAACGGCTCAGTGGTAGAATTCTCCCCTTCCGTGCAGGAGACCTGGATTGTGTCCCAGTCCGTACACCTCATACATAGCCACCACCTGTCAGTGGAGACTTGCATTTTGCTATGAGGCTGAACAGGTTTCAGCGGAGCTTCCATACTAAGACTAGCAAGAAAGGCCCGGTGATCTACTACTGAAAATCACACTGGTCCATCCACAGTCAGCCAGCGAGGTGGCACAGAACCGGCAACATTTATGTTCTGTCTTGCGTGGGGTCTGCAAGAATCAGGGGCCACCTTGTTGGCAGCTAACAATAACAGCCCATGAGCAGGGCTCTGCTGCTGGTCTAGTGAAGACCTAGGTCTAAAACTGCCTTATCTTTGAAATGAAGTTTGGCAGGTGAAACCTCAGGTTAGTTTGATTTTGCTCCTGGGAGTTTTTTTAATCTTCTCTTAAAAGCGGGACTATGAGTCAGACAGGCAAAAGAGGTGCTGTGCCAGCAGACTCAGTGTCCTACTTCCAGAGCCCTGCTGAGACCAGCTGCTAAGGAGATGGTCTTTATGCTGCCCCCTCTGTGCTTATCACATGGGCCATGGTCTCAGTGGAGCAGGTTTCAGAAAACCACTGCTATCATTCGTCAGTGCAGCCCCAATTAGCCACCGGATATTAAAGACTGAGAGCTTCATGTGTATGCAGATGACAAAAGGGGCCCTAGTCAACTGGTAGGAAATTTATCCCAGAAGGGAAGTAGAAAAGACAAAAACCCTTGAGAGTGTCCACAGGTCACCTAGTAAAGTACAGTGCACACAGCAGGTACTCAATAAATGTTGATTGTTATCTAGGTAGCATCTGTGATAGTGCCCATAGGTACCCCAGTGGAAATTATTCTAAGTAATAATTTCCATGCTGTAATCAGCCTTCTTGCTTGTAAATTCACCCCCATAAAAGTTCAAAGTAGGTCCTGGCCAAGGTAGCTGCTATCCCCTAGTGACTGTGAAATGGAGCCATGCAGGAAGAAGCTGTCGCTTCCATTCTGCATACCGCAGTCTGGATCTCCTTAGAGAAGGGCATTCTCCTAAAAAAAAATCAGTAGAATTAGTATACTCAAGAAATAGAGCACTACCGATTTTTATATACAGTCCCAGGTATTTCAACAATATCCTTTATCATTTTAAATTCATTCCTTTCAGTGCATTACATTTAGTTGTCATCTCTGTATGAATCATAAGTAATCTCACTCTCTCTCTCTCCCTCCTTCCCTTTCCTTTCCTACTCCCTCTCATGCAGCTCTTGGGTAGATCAATTGACTTGAATAGACTCATCACTCAGCGCATTTCAGCCGCCATGTATAAATCCCTGGACCAGGCCATCAGCCGCTTTGAGAGCGAGGACTTGACTTCCATCGTGGTAAGATGCTGGGGGCTGATGGGAATTCTACCCTGGAATCGCACAGACACAGAGTTTAGCTGGGGTTCACTGCCAGCCTAGGACCAGGCCACTTCAGAGCAAGCTCAGTCTCTGCCCGCCTGAATGGGTCAGGGAAGCGGAAGATGAGTAGGAGTCTGGGCTAGCCAGGCCTTCCCAGGCTCGCTGGGTGAAAGGATGCCCCTGGCGCCTCTAGCGCTGGCCGGCCCTCGGGCACAGCTGCTTGTCCTTTCTGATTCTACAGCAGAGAGCAAGTCGGGGTGTGGTCTAGAGAAGCTGGGCGAGGGCCCAAGGCCTGGCTGCTTCCTGGGCATTCGCTGATGGCCCAGGCTCAGAATGACCCTGCACTGGGTTCAATACTCTGCTTCTCTATCTTGAAATTCTTAAGTATATTTTTGTAAACTAAGATCCCACATTTTCATTTTCACTGTGCTGAACAAATCCTGTGTGCCAACACTGAACAGCCTGCTCCCTTCTCCCATAAAGCAGCCATTTGAACTGCCCTCTATTTCCCCTCCAAGGATTAGAGTAAATGTCATTGATTAGGCTTGAAAGGGATCAAAGGAAGTCCGGACTGCTTGCAGAAGTTGGGCAGGGAGAAGGGATTTGGGAAAGAAAATACGCCATTCAACCACCATGGTAATAATTGTTGCGTGTAAGATGGATACTAAAACATATGGGCAAAACTTGAGAACAAACAGGACACGCATACTTTCAAACTTTCCCTCCCAAGATTCTGTTAAGGGGAAAATAGCCACTTGTCAGGGGAGAAGCCCAGCTGAAATCGCTTTAGCCCAGGACTGAGACGGACATCACCAGGAATAATGAGATACGTTATATTCTGTGTCCCTGGTACCACATTCTTCATTGGTATTTGTGGCAAAATGCAAACCTCAGCCAAACCCTGGAGAAAACACAAGACAAGTCAATTGCGAGGCCCTCCATGTGCACGTAAAGAGGTGGACATACCTCTTCCAGAGTGCCCAGGTTAGAAAGTACAACTGTGACAGATGGGAAGAAACAAAGGAGGCAAAACCATCCAATGGAATGTGGCACCTTGGGTTAACTAGATCCTGGAACTGAAAAAAGGCATTAGTGAAAATGCTGGTAAAATCCAAATAAAACCTGTCATTCAATGAATAAAATGATACCAGCCAAGAATTGCTCCTCAGGGTTTCAACAGTGTAAATAGGAATAGACAGGCTCATCTTTCTCCCAAGAAGTGGAATACTGATCTTTCTGTTAGCAGTCCAACACTTCACCCACTGTGCTACCTGAGCACCTTAACACACACACACACACACACACACACACACACACACTCACACTAAACTCACTGCCGTGGAATGGGTTCCAGTTCAGAGTGGCGGTCCTACATAGGCTTTACAAGACTATACATCTTTAGGGGAGCAGGCAACCTCATCTTTCTCCCTCACGGTAGCTAATAGGTTTGAACCATCAGTGTGGTTAACATCCCAATACCTAACTTCTAATACCACCAGGGATCCTTGATAGGATTTTTCAGGGTTAATTTCCTAGCCTTAGTGATTCTCCCATGCCTGTGCAAAATATTGCCATTTTAGTAGCTGGATAAAGGGTATGCAGGCATGCTGCTATTTTTTATAGCTGTTCTGTAAATGCAAAATTAATTTGAAATAAAAAGATTTTGGGTTTGCTTAAATGGACAAAGTGGTTAAAAAAATAAAGGTGTGTAAGAATCGGGGCTCTAGAGTCAGAAGACTGGCCCTGGCTCTGCCCCTGGGCGATCTGGTGCACGCCCCCTACCTTCTCCAAGCCCGTGGGGGAATAATAGACACCAGCTCACAGGATTGCCGTAAGGGTGAAAAGAGGCGTTCCGTGGTAAGAGCATAGGATAGCCTTTTGGGTCTTAAATGGACAGATGATCGCTTTTTGAAAGGAGCATGAGGGGGACACAAAAATCGGTGCCTTTGATGAAACCGTACCAGGGAGAATTCCCAGCAGCAGTTCTTAAAAGGAGTTGGGCTGACTGCCTACCTCAGCCCTGGATCACTTCCTCCAAGAGACTGTAACGCAACTCAACACGCCGATGGGAAATCGTTGGGCAGCGCTGTGTTGCTTGAGAAATAGGATTGCTCTTTGTCGATGCCCGAAAGGTGAACAGTAAAACAGTGACGATCTCTGAGTGTTAGCAGGGGTGGGGGGTGGGAAGGGTGAGGGGGGTGTTTTCCGCATTTTCTAGGTTCCGATGATGAGAATATCTTAGGAGGGAGGGGAAATAGACATTTTGCTGCTGTTTTTTAAAAAACATGTCCACAGCCTGTTCCCATCCCTTGAAAGGCACTGAATGTTCTTTTAGCCGCGGGAAAACAAAACAAGGGGAAAACTATTTATCAAGGAGTACCTGCTTCCTGTGAAGCCCACACAAGGAGACCCCAGGGAAGCTCTTTCCTCTCTAAGTCAACACCACCTCCCTTCTCTTGGTTGAGAAGCTTCTGCCTCGACAACAACAACAACAAGCCAAGGAACGTGCTCCCCTCAGCCCTTCCCTCCACGCAGAGTGGTGGCGAGGAGGAAGCTGGACCCAGAGCTGGGAAAGGCTGCAGAGATTTGCCCCTCATTTCACACAGCGGAGCAGATAGAGTCGCAGAGAGCTCTGACCCTGCCGTTGAACTCTGGCAGTCTGCAGGCTCTGTTTTGTTTAGTCTGCCAAGCATCAACATTTTCAATGTTTCATACTTAAGAGAATTCAAATACAAAGGCACAAACTTTAGCGACTCCAGAGAGGTATTCCCAAATGGCAGTGGTTACCTGGAAATGACCAGTAGACAGGCTCTCTTCGATTTGTTTAGAACCCCAGCAATGGCCCATTTCATCATGTGTAAGCCCGCTCTTCCCTCCAGGGAGCCTGGTGACATAGTGGGTTACACATGGAACTGGTAACCATAAGGTGGGCAGTTTGAAACCACCCGCCGTTCCCTGGGAGAAAAGCTTTCTACTCCTGCAAGGAGTTATCGTCTGGGAGAACCATGGGGGTGGTGTCGCCTGTCCCCCAGGGTCACTAGGTCAGAATCGGATCTACTCAATGGCAGTGGGAGAGTGAGTCCTTCTCACTTATGTGAGGTCTCAGAGCTAGTTAATCAGGAGTAGCTGAAACAGCGCCTGTCTGGTCACCACTGAAGAGCTCGTCCTGTTACATCGAAGAAGTTGTCCATCTGAGTAATATATCCCCCAGATCCTCATGCTGGGGCCCTGCCGATGCTGTAGGATAAGTGTTAGATAAGCTGCTAACTGCAAGCTGATTGGTGCAAATCCACCAGCCTTTCTGAGGGAGAAAGATGAGGCTTTCTGCTCCCATACAGATCTACAGCTGGGAGAACCCTCAGATCTCTGTTCATCTCGTGAGTTAGAATTGTCTTCATAATAATGGGTGTAGTGTTGGAGTTCTCAGCCTCCAATTCTGAGAAGCCCTAATGGCCCTAAGCTTGGACACTGGGTTAATAACAGGGCAGCGTGCCTGGTTTAAAGCCATCCAACAAGAGAAAAATGTGCCTGACTGCTCCTATAAGGATTAGTCTTGTAAGGCCTATATAGTCACTATGAGTCATAATCGATTTGATGGCAGTGGGGTTTGATTTTTTACTTGCCCCACTTGTGCTTGTCTTTGTTGTCATTCAGTGCCTTGGCTTTACTGTAGAGAGAGAACACCCTCTCAGCACGCCCTGGGACTACTCACGGCGCCTTTTAAGCCTGCCGTGCCTTGGTACTCTGAGGTCCAAGTCCAGTGGACAGATGCATTCTGAGTTGAAGGCTGAAGAGCTTGAACTACATAACCAAGACACGCCTTGCTATTGGACGACGTGGGCCTCCGGTTTCAGCGGGCCCACATTAGCATGCCTAACAACTCTCTCCTGTCTCTCTCATCCACATGCACGCTGATAGGCATCGTGACACTGTTCCATCATAGAGCTCCAGAAAAGAAATCCTTACCCTGTTCCTCATCTGCAGAGTTACGGGGCTGAGTCATCTTGGAAACAAACTCATTACCATTGGCTTTTTTTTCTTTCCCCAACCCATGCTAAGTAGTCGGAAAGAAACTGAGTGGGAACAGTCAAGCTAGCCAGGCCCCAAGATGCAGAAACAGAAAGTGAATTTGTAGTCTTGCCCTTCACTGCCTACGCTAGGTACGATGGTGGGAAACTATTGTTCTAGAATCCTGCCCCTTCCCAGAGACCAGGCTGGCCTGGCTCCTGTTGTCTCTTATCTCAACCCAGACCCGGAGGTAATATGGTCACCACCCTTCTTTCATCCACCACCATCTCCCAGGGAACCCAAGGCTTACCTTTTATTAGTTTAGGCACATGGCAGCCCTGAGTGAAGAAGCTGCTTGAGAGGACACCTTCCACTCCCTTTTCCCTTAACTTCTCCCTCCCTCCCTCCCCCTTTCTCTCAGTTAATTAATGAATTAATGCCCAACCACAGCCAGCCAAAAACACTTTTTTTACTTCCCGACAAATATTGCATGCATCTTGCTGTGTCCAGGGGTTACACACTGCCTGAAGGTGCTCCTAGGTGATGAGCCCCATAGCTCTCATACTCACCCTCTGGGTAGATGGCAGCATTTGCCTGTGGCCTCCTGCCTCTGCTGGCTCTGTGGTTTCCTAGGGCTGCCTTAATGCAGTACCACAAACTGGGTGGCTTGAAACAACGATTCAGTCACTTACAATTCTGGGGCTAGAAATCCAAAACCAAAGTGTCTGCGGGGCACCGCCACCATGCTCTCCCCCAGAGGGCTCGACAGGAGCCTGCTTTTGTCTGGCAGTGACCAGCAATTCTTGACGTTTCTCTTTCTCGGCCATTGCCTGGTCATCTTCCTTCAAAGGAATACCAGTTATGTTGAATTAGGACCCAAACTGCAAGGTTAGCAGTTCAATTCCAGCATCTCCTCTGGAGAAAGATGGGTGGCTGTCTACTCCTGTAAAGATATATAGTGTCAGAAACCC